GTTTTGCTACTCAGTTAAAATATAAGGACGTCAGCTTCCCAGCTGCTTTCAAAAATGGAGATCTCCCATCTACTGTACTATATGGAGATGATAAGCTAGCAATAGGACAGAAAGATTCTCTGTGCATAGCTTGCTTTATTGTTCCGAGATCCCCCTTGAGTAGAAAGGACCTGTATGGGAACCATTCCTATTTTTTGCTCACTTGGGTAGGAGCCGGGGGAAGCCGAGCTTCTAGGTGAGGCTGTTCCATGAGGCTGAGATGGTAATAGAGGAACAATGACATCTGGCTTCAGCACCCCTTATTTCACAACAATGAGGGATTACTAGAAACATTTCCCAGAATGAACATATTGGGTCAATTCTGGTTGGAGAAGGTTGTTCCGTAGGTAGCTAGATACCGAGCTTTATAGGGCTTTCTAGCTTAAAAGCAGCACTTTGAATTATGCCCAGAAACTTGGGGCTGTCCATTAAAACTAAACGCAGGGAGACCCAGGATTAATAAAAGGCTACATTTCTTTATACAATATATAGCTATGGAAACTTTTGCCAACCAATGTGACGATGAGAGATAAGTTTGAAAGAGAAATTGGATAGCTTAATGGAGTAAGAGGAAAGGACTGACCCAATGTCACACAGGGACTTTTTGTGGCTAACGGGGGCCCAGAACCTGGGTCTCCCTACTCCTAATCCAGCACCTTCACCACTAGACCATTCTGGCTCTTAGGCTGAGCAGGAAGGACTGACCCAAGGTCCTCCAGAAGACTTTCATGGCTGAGGGAAAGCTAGAACTTGGCTCTTCCTGGTACAAGTCCAATTCCTCAACCACTGCACCATGCTGGCTCTAACATGAGTAGGGCACCTTTGGCTGAACAGCTCTTTCACGTATTCTACTCCACATTTCATCAAAAGAATTCAGGACAATATAGGTGGCTCCTTTCTTGCTTCACCATTTAACTTCGCAGTGACTGTGAGCTAAGTGAGACTGGGAATCTGTGACAGGCTCAAGGCCATATAGCAAGCTAGAAGGCTGTGCAGGAGTTTGAACTCCTGTCCAGTTAGAGTTCGATGCTGTAGCCAGAACCAGTCTCATCCTAATGCATGAAGATTCATTATTGTGCCTCCTCGTGATCCAGATTCCAGTCCCTCTTCAGCTGTAGAAATTCACTGGGTGACTTTGAGTCACTCATGCCCAGCCTAGCCTAGCACTCCTGACAAGGTTGCTATTGGAGCAATAAAAAGGTTAATGATAAAATGAGAGGAGACCCCCATGAGGTGTCTTGAAGTACTGAAGGAAAAGTGAGCCCTAAGTCTAGCAAATACAATGAAAGAGGAAAACCATCACAGAAATCTTTACGAGATTAGGAACCAAAGCGTAGCTCTAGGTATCCCATCAGTTCTCAAGGGTATTTTTCGCTAGTTCCCGTGATCCATCATTTCTCTTCTTCCAGAAAAAAAATAAGGTATAAGAAATATAAGGTATTCAGACAGCAACAGAAACTCTGGTCATGTTTTCTCCTTCTTTATTTCAGATTTGGGGTCCTGTGTCATAGAAAGGAGAATGGATGCTGGTTAACATGAATTGCTGAGCAAATGTTTGTGACACTTTTAAGATAAACCGCTGTATTATGGCATCAGCTTTCATAGACCACAGTCCGATTCATCAGATTCATCGTTGAAGAGTAAATGTATTAGTCTTTAAGGATTTGTGAGGCTCTTTGTTCAATAATATAACAAGCTGGTTTTTGTAGTCTAGAAATGAAGAAACCTATTTTTCTGTTTATAGTGTGTGTGGTAACTATGAACGTCCAAACACAGTTTGCTGCAATTAGCTCAGAAGCCACTAAAGGGCGCTAATCATTAACGTTGCTTTTTCTTCTCAGTGTATGAAGATCTGTTTGTACCCTTGCGAATCCACTGCCCATCTGCCATGAGCATCAAGAACAGAGCTGGAAAGACACCGGGGGACCTCCTGAACACAGCAGCAGAAGAGAAATGGGTATCAGTATGGCTCGGTTAGGAGGAGACTGTCAAAGTCAATGAAAACTTAATGGAGAGCGGGGAAAGAGAAAAGAAAGAGAGAGAAAGAGATCTATATCATTTATTTTCATCATTATTATTTTAATATTTTGTAATAGTATTATTTTAGGACTATCACTGTTATATTA